TCTCATTATCCCGAATAGATATAATATCACACTTTTATATAAACAAATTCGGTATCTCTTCTATTTTATTTTATCATATATTACCTTATTCATTTTTTCACATACTGACTTAAGCATGGAAAATTTTTGCAGTTATCCTCGTTCATTCTCCTCATGCTTGACTAAATTTAAGGAAGTTTGAACACCTTCCTAATCTCTCTCTATATATAAATAAATAAATGAAGTAACACATAAAACGAAATTCTTACAAAATTAAAATCTAGATACTTTTTTTTTTTTGAAAAAATTAAATAAGTTAAAGGAAGATTATATATTCTAACAAAATATATTTGAATTTGAATGAACTAACCATCTAAATATTTTAAAATAATACGATTGGTTCAATTTGGATGATCGAAAAATGATTGAATTAATTAAATTCATGATCCGACAAACACCGGAAAAAGCTATAATATTTCTTCTACTATTTGAATAATTGACTTTTTAATTAAAAGCTCTACAGGGAGATAAAGAGATAATAAAGCATGAGTTTTTTAAGATGATAGAGAATAATGGCATAAAAGTATGAGTAAATTTTCTTTAGTCGAAACATTTCCATATGAAAATAGAAATGTTTAATTTATAAGTATTTTCTGTCCTTGGATAAAACAAAAGACAATTGTGGAAGAAGCATAATATATATGGTGATGGTAAAAAATAATCCATATGGTTGGTATTATCCATATAGCTCTTTGTCCATGTCAATTAGTAACCATGTGAATTAATAATTCTGAACAATCAGGAAACCCTAATTCTGTGGAATGTCATTGCAACTAGGGTTTATAGTAATGAATATATAACTGAAGTTGGAAGTTTATGTGTTTATATTGATGTAAGCATGCCTGCTTCATCAAATGTATCGATCAATCTTTCGATAATTTCAACCACGTCTTTCTCATCGATTATATTACTATTTTTAGAGAGAATGCCTTCAAATTTTATACGCTGAAAATGTGAAGCTTAGCTCATGTATTATATTCTACTTTGTGTCTCTTTCTTTTTGACAAAGATAACTTTTCTACTTGGGATCATGACTACTTCAAGAAAGTTATAAAAAAATCCCTTTTTTAGAGAAAAAAATTCACTAAATGAAGTAATTGGACTTATAAAATAGATTATTTCTATTATTTAAATAAAATATTTTTTCTATAAATTAAAATTAATTTATAAACAAGTTAAAAATAATATTTTTGAAAAGTTATATGAAAATTTTTGTATAAATTTGTTTACAGATTTATGTACAAGTTAAATTTTAGTTTTTTTTTAGAAGTTTTTATAGAAAGAAATTTATTATCATTTAAAACTTTGGGAGGTTATTAGTTAATATTAAGAAATAGCGAAAAATTATTGATCTCAAAACTTAGGTCTTAAACGAAAAATATATAATAAAACTTACTAGTTTGTTTACATGATTACTTATTTGGATTATTTACCTTTTAAAATGATGATATTACGAGATTATTCATGACTTTAATAAAATCAAAATTTTATTCAATTTTTTTTATTCATATTTTTTAAAATATATGATTTATTTCAAAATTTTAGGTTAAAATTAAACAAAACTATACTTATTATATTTAAATATTAAATTATATATTTAGAATTATTAAAAATTATTTATTATACAATATTCATAATTATTAAAAATATGATTCTAATTTTATTTTTTTAATTATAAAATTGTGTAATTTATTTATAACTTTAAGAGAAATTAATAAAAAAATATTCAGATAATTACAAAACTTATAGATAATATATTATTTATTTTATTGTATTGTTTATATATAGTGTATTGTATTGTTCACATAGTTTATTGTATGGTTCATATTATTTATTTTTTGAATGATTATTGTTTATACAACATTTTTCTTTAATATATATATATATATATATATATATATATATATATATATATATTTTTATTTATTTATTAGATAATAGTATTGTAAAGTATGAACAATACAATAAATTTTGTGAACTGTGAACAATAAAATAAAAAAAAATAATATATTATTTATAAGGTCTGTAATTATCTAAATATCTTTAAAAGATATTCAAATAATTATAAACCTTATAGATAATATATTATTTATTTTATTTTATTTTATTTTATTGTTCATAAATTATGAATATAATAGTTATTATATATTTTTTTATAATATGTTTTTAATTTCAAATTTTTATTATAATTTTTTTAATAATTTTTCATTAGAAAATGTTTTACAATTTTATAACAGCAAAAATCATCAAATCAATCCAGATTAAATTGACAAGGTTGATTTGGTTCCGTTCGAATTTTATATTAAATTAAAATAAATCAAAATAAAATTATAATTAATCTCTATGTTTGATTTAAATCATTATTTAATAAAAATAAAAACTGAATCAAACGATTAACACCATACATTTTTGGCACCATACATTTTTGGCTATGTTATACATGGTATTTTTTAATATAAATAAGTTTTAACTATTTTTACTCTATTTAATGATATCTGTCATAAAATACTCTAATAACTTTAATCAATGTTTACACTACCATGTGTACATTTTGTTTTATAACAGAGAATGTTAAAAAAAAATCCAGTTAACTTTTTTAAAAAAATTGTGTCAATTTAGTTTTTTATTTTACTTATAAGTAAATAAAAAAAGCGTTATTTTGTCAAGGAATAGATGAAATAAATATTAAAAAAAAATAAAATGGAAAATATTATTTAACAATTCATATAATATGTATGACAATATTTTTCTTTTTTATTATATCATTAATTACATGTAATAAAAGAGAGGTGTGAAAAAAAATGATGTTCCATAAATTATGACATAATATTTCCATTCTCATCTAAAGAAAAAAATCACACATATTGAATAATTTAAATATATAAAATTTTACTAACTTCTTAATATTATTTATAATATATTCTTATAGTAACATAAAAGTACATATTATGATGTTTAACTAAAAGTTAAACATTAATTTAAATTAAGGAATTTTAGAAAAAATATCATTTAATAAAAAGTAAAAATAGTTGAAAATTCTTATATTCGATTGTAACAAACATTTTTTATATTAAAAGCTGATTAAAATTTAAAGAAAATATCAAGTACTCGTCAATAATGTTTTTTGCATGACTTAACATTTTTAAATAAAGTTTCAAAGAGTTTGTACGAAATAAAAAAAAAATTAAGAGAAACTCGTCCGCCAATTTTCCATTACGTTAGCAACGCGAAACTTTTCCTTAAATAATATATCCATCGTTGATCTGTTCATAATTAGCATAGTTGGTTTGATTGCAAAGTAACAATACCAAAAATCTAAGTGATAAAGTTCAATGCATGGCACAATCATCATTTTGCATGCTTTTAAAAATTCTCCAACAGAATGCATATATGAAGACTAATTGTGATCATACTTATACATTTGAAATTATACACCAAATGTTTATTATATTAAAGATTCATTTGTTTGTGCTTTCTAGAAGAAAAAGTAATTACAAATGTGTTAAATATTTAGAGTGGAAAAACAAAGCTGTTTCAATTTTTTATGGTTATGAAATCATCTTTTTTAGTAATTCACTATTGAACAAAGTATTATGTAAATTTATATGGAAGTCAAATAAATTTTATTGGTTTAATTTAGTATATATATTTTAATTACAAAAATAAAAGTATATTTAAAAGAAATCCGAAATAGTAAAGATTCTATTATTATAGAGATGTTAAATGTAAAAGTGAGAAATTAGTGGGTATTTAAAATATTACCATATATGAAGAAGTTAGGGACATTTACCTAGTAGTTGTCTTCAAATGGGCATTATATATATTTAAATAAGGCCAAAGAAAAGCAGCTTCCAATATTAGAATTATCATGGCAGCAATACCTTTCTAATTCCTCCTCACGCTTTCGACTTCTCGAGTGAGGAAACCAGTTTATTTCTTTGCTTAGAGTTCATCAGAAAACCATACCACATATGCTCCTTGCAGTACATCAAGAGATAAAAGCTTCTATTAAATTTTACACTCTTTTTGTTCAAATGTCAAATATTTCAGGTGATGAAGGAAGTTTCTCCTCAGCAAACACTGTGGAAGAAGTTCATCATGAAAACGAGCAGCAACAACCACAAAACCACCCCCATGGCTCAAGTTCTGGTGCTTGCAATAGCAACAATTCCTCTAAACAACAACAACAACAGCAACAGGCAACCAAGAAGAAAAGAAACCTACCTGGAACCCCAGGCAAATATTCAACCCTGAGCTTCAGTTTTTGATCATGTTTGAATTAGTTTCATTATAGGAAAACTTGCTAATGCCAAACACAGAAATTCTACATTCACTGATGGTGTGATTAAGGCCTACACAAACAATTTATTTCTCCAAAGCGCTTTTGACTAGTTCAATTTTGCTTATTTTGAAGTGGTAATGGTGCATGCTAGCTGTATTCTACTGGTCAAACTCTAGTTACTAGGCAGTCCTTGCACATACGTTGAATTATGGTTGAACAGAAGGTTTGGTGTGCATTATTTGTGATAATTTTGGAAGTGTGGGAAACTGTTGCTTTATTGAACTTAATATTATTCTTCCTTTTAATACTACTGCAACCTATTTAAGCAACATGAATTTAATACTAAAGATTTCCTTACTCGAATTAATTATACGTAACTTCTTTGATTTGATCAGTTTTCACGATTTTAGAAGTTGGATTAACCCAAAAGATAGTATAACTAAGGTTGCACCGATGAGTTAGCTAAAAACACTCATTACGGAATTTAAAAGAACATTTAATATTTTAAAAACGTTAAACAAAGTACTACCCTCTGCAGGCTTTGTTTAGTAACCAACACGAGTAAATTAGGATATAAGATCTTTATGAATGTTATTGTCGAATTAAAGTGGTGGTGATAGATGAATTTTATGAAACAGATCCGAATGCTGAAGTTATTGCTTTATCACCAACCACATTAATGGCAACAAATAGATTCGTCTGTGAGATCTGCAACAAAGGGTTTCAGAGGGACCAAAACCTTCAGTTGCACCGCAGAGGTCACAATCTTCCATGGAAACTGAGGCAAAGACCAAGCAACGAGGTGAAGAAACGGGTTTATGTGTGCCCTGAGCCGTCATGCGTCCACCATAGCCCTGCTCGTGCATTAGGAGACCTCACTGGCATAAAAAAACATTACAGCAGAAAACATGGTGAAAAGAAATGGAAATGTGACAAGTGCTCTAAAAGATATGCAGTCCAATCTGACTGGAAGGCCCACCAGAAAACCTGTGGCACCAGAGAATACAAATGTGATTGTGGGACCATATTTTCCAGGTACTCATTAATATTATCACTATATATATATATATATATATATATATATATATTAACACCAATCTTTCAATTTTAATTTTAATGTGATTGCATGGTTTTTGGGTACAAAAGGCAATCACATGTATAGACATAGGGCTCATATTTTAGAGGGCTAGATATTAATCATGCTAATCTTTTTTCGCCCATGATAATATCTACCAGCGGCATGCTGACATTGGTGTTGCAGATAAACAGGTTGAAGTGTTGTCACGTCCTGTATATTTTTCGTTTGATTATGCTTCGTGGTAGTTTGTGCTCATAAATAAAACACATGCTGGATTTGACTGATAACATTTACTCTCAATTACGATTCATTTGATGTGGTCCTTTCTTTCCTATACGTCTCATCACTTCTTTGACTCGTGCACTGTTTCCAACGGTGCAACCACTTTCTATGATGTCAAGTGAGATTTAAAATTTTAACTTCAATGTTAAGTTCTTATTCCTTAGCAAGTTTTCTCATAATTCTTAAGATCTTTCAAAAACTTTGACAACTACTGTATCAAACTGTCTGTAAACTATAAGACCTGATTCTTAATATATAAACTACGTAAAAACTGATTGATATAAGTTTGAGAACTTCACACAACTCAAATAAGATATACTCCTATATGAAGTTGAATTTTGAGTAAGTAAAGAACACAACTGTTTGCAATTACAGCATACATATGGCAACGTTGAGTTGATGTGGCCCTAGTTTTTTACATGTTAAATTAAGATAGAGGCATAATTGCGAGTTCATGCTAGAGTTGTTAAATTTATGATCGTAACTCTAGAATGAAATTATTTGTCTCTTTTATCTGTCTATTGTAAAAGAACAACACAAAAATTATCTCATAAGGGGATCTAAATGGTAAGATTCTGTCTTTTTACTGTTAGTTAGCATTAAAGTACCCAATTTGTACATGTCTTCATTCAACACATTGATATGAATCTTGCAGAAGAGACAGTTTTATCACACACAGAGCCTTTTGTGACGCATTAACTGAAGAAAACAACCGAGTAAACCATTCATTAACGAGTGGCACTCGCATGACACCGAGCTTGCAAAGGGAATTGCCAGACCTCATGGCCACAATGCCTCTACTCACGAGTCCCAACAACACTGTACCCGAGCTCAACGACAACTACGACCCTAGTAAGAGCCCACTCAAAACCCTATCCCAAGAACATCTTGTCCCAATGCCATTCAAGTCCATGAGCATGAGGGGTGGCATGTTCTCTACCACTTCAGGTACACTCTTTGGTGGTCCAAAAGATATGTCACTTCCCTCATCTTCCACCCTTCAACTCAGCTCCAACAACTCTCCTGCTTTCAATTACTTCCAAGACAGAAAAAACGCTTCTGCCTCGGCTCACATGTCTGCCACAGCTTTATTACAGAAAGCAGCCCAAATGGGTGTCACTGCAAGCAATAATAGCATTAACTCTCCCACCATGATGCAGAAAAACTTTGTTAGTGGCATGGCTGGTCCTGACCCCCACCATAGTCCTTCTTCCTTTGACCCCTTCCCTCATCCACATCCTGATGATCAATCTCACATGGCTGGGATTAGTGGTGCTGGAGCCTTCACCAACCAATTTCTTCACAAGGGGCAACAAGAAGTCTCACTAATACTTGATTCCAACACTAATGATATGGGAATTTTCTGTGCAATGTTCATGGGAAGTGACCACAACCAAGGTTTGATGAAGAACGTGGAACAAGAGGTTGGTGCTAGTAGTCCAAGTTTAATTCATAGAATAGATGTATCAGAACGAAATCCAATGGGGGCTTCAAGGTTTGGAGGTGGTAACATGACAGCCGTCCATGATTTCTTGGGCGTTGAGGGTGCAACTTCAAGGGCAGCGAGTTTGCATGAACCTCAGAAACAACAACAGCAAAGATTGGAGTTGGAGGCATTAACCCACCAGAGGTTACAAATGATGAATCACTTTCACCACCCCCTTCCACATGGGGATTCTGCTATGGAAAAGTCCATTTGGGACACCTGAGAACCAACACAAACATACTGTCCAGTTTAATTTAGACTACAGAAAAGAGAGAATGTTTCCTTTAGATGAGTTCTTGAAAGTTTGTAACATAATGTCTTTTAACATTCCTCAGACAATTATTCTGAATAATTAGCCTATGTTTTGAAGTATGAGTTCCGACGTGTGTATATGTATATATTTCAAAGTTATATTTGCTTGATTCATTAGCACGTGGCATTGCAAGCAAGCCAAAATAGTTATATAAAATAGTAAAAAATACATATTTTAGAATAATGAAAATTAATTAATATAATTAAAAATTCAATTATTTAACATATACTAAAATATTAAAGATAAAAGTGTAAAAAATAATAAAAAGAACTAGTTGAAAATTAATCAGAAAAAATTATAAAATATTTGACTTTAAATTTGATCATTTCATTTTGATTTAATTTTTCATATAAAATATTTTTATTAAATTTTATTTGTGCATTTTATATTTAATTTTTTTTTCATTTAAAAAATATTTTTAAAAAAAGTTTCGAAAAAGTAATATCCAACAAGATAGGTCAAAATGTATTTTCATAATTTTCTCTATCAATTTTTTTTTTTCAAAAAAGGAAGGAAAATAAGTTTTAAGTGGATTGGTTAGTACAATTCTGGTGCTCATAAGGTTGTTGGGACAGTGAAAACTAGAAAATGGGATTGAGAGAATAGGAAGATCAAAAAGGAGAAAAAATAAATTTAAGGCTTATAAAAATTTTAAAAGCCCTAAAAGTAACATAGAATGGGTCGTGAGGAAGGCCATAAGTTGAAATAGAACTAAAATCGTAACCCTAATTAGATCAGGTGTATATATATACAGCAACGTCATTTCACGCTCTCTGTTCTTCGCCGATCATAATCTCTCTCCTCTTTCAAATTTTCAACTTTTTTATCACTTCGTTTGCCTCTTTTCATTCTGTATTCGTTGATCTTTTTCGTTTTCTTGATGTCAATTATGTTTTATTGTTTTTTGAAGGCAACGATGGTAAGAACTACCTATTTTATGAGGGAATTGAGAATTTTCTCTTGTGATTATGAAACTACCAATGGATCCTTCTGAGCCTTCTGCACTTTTCCTGTTTTCATTTTTAAAATTTGGTTGGATTTGTTAATTGGTAATGTAGATGAGAGAATAGGGCGCCATTGAAGTGATGATACGCTTTTCTGAATTTAATAGATGTGGTTTATTTAATCAGACTACAATTATCTGATCAATGGCTCTCCTTCCATTAATCTATTATTTCTGGCACAGAGGAATTGAGGGAATCACTTGTTTTTTCTCATGAATCATGATCATGCTTTAAAAATTACTTTGTAAAGCTTTAATCTGTGCACCATAAGGTATTGGAGTGATTTTATTTTATCTGTTACTTGTCATTCTCCCCCTTTATCATTTTATCAACTTAAGAACGACGGACACTTTTGTTTTTTATTGGTAAAAATTATTTAAATTACTATTTGACTAGTCTCACGTCATAATAGTTGAATCGCTCTAATGATTGTATAGTTTTCAATAAATTTCAATCTAAAAGATTCTTCAAATAAATCAGACAGAATCTGCTTCCATCATGGTATTTACAAAAGCACAAGACAAGGTGAAGAAAGGCCGTGAAACATAGCCCGAAGTTCAGGTATATTCTATATTCTCTAATTCTGCAAGAAAAGGCAGTTAATAACTTTCCAAAGTCATTCCTCCACAACCAGAAACCAAACACACTCTTCTAGCTGAGCCATCCACATTTGCCTTAAACCAACTACTTCGGGTGGTGTCCATGCCATACTGAGGAATTCGTGATTAAAAATTATATCGATAACAAATCAACCAAGAATCAGCATTATACATTAGCAGAGGAATACCATACTGAGAAAGGCTACAAGTTCATCTGCATAGCTTTGAAATTAAGGACATTTGACAGTCTTGTCTAGCGATCTAAGAACATGCATAACTGTCTCGATAGCATTTACGAATCTCGGGCAAAAGGGATAAGGAACGAGATACCTGGTTTTGTCTCAGTAGCATTTACGAATCTCCGGCAAAAGGAATAAGGAATGAGATACCTGGTTTTCATTTGTCAGTAAACAAATTTTGTGGGCACAAACAGCTTCATAAGCAGAGAATTGTAGAACAAACAATCATTTGCAGGTTTCAAAACTAACCTGTCATCAACATATTTTGTGACAATAGGGAAATCAAATTATTGAAAATAAATGTTCACATATCTCTAATTTGAATTTGAATAATTTATATTTTAGAGCTTTTTATTATATTTCAAATTTTAGATAATAATGAGAATATTGTTTTTATCACATTATAGTTTTAGATCCTGTGAAAATAAAATGTCAATTTTAGTCCTTAAATAACAGATTTGATGTTAGTTGAGGTAATATAAGAAACTGCAATTTCATAGAACTAAAACATAACATTAGAAGCTAAAATTATACAGACAAAATATTTTATAGATATTTAAAACCTTGTAATAATAAACTTGGTAAAAAACTAGGTTTGGTTTAATGTCAGACTATATCATTAGTCACATGAATAATGTGTAAAACACAATTCATAACATTTTTACCACAATTTTTAGCCATCCCATATTGAAAGACACCATTGTTTCCCATTATTCTCATATTTCATTAAATGCTAATACTTTCTTTTTTATATCCATAATAAAATGTCAAGAAGAAATTATACACAAAATGCGATGTATCGATTTTCATATTGACCTAACCCACTGCATAAACATCCTAGAATGGATGAAAACGGTACACATGTTAGGATCCCAATAAATTCAATGCTAACATTGGGGCATAGGGGATGCAAAGAATAATCTAATGCTTATCAACACTGCAATGGAAAAATCTTTTAGGTTTTGATGAAACTTTGAATTTACAAGGTGCTAATAAAGACATAAATCTGCCGTTAAAAAAACTGTATAACTCCAGGAGGATCGTTATTAAGCCACATTAAGTAATTTTGCAGGCTAGGAGGTCTCTTCACCTTTCCACCTCCTGAGAACTTTTCTGAGTTATTGGCTACTACGAAATTGTATCAGACTAGGTAGCAGCAATATTTCAATAATCTATTTAAGTAAAAGGATGCATGAAGTAAAAAAAAAAATTGGCTTTCCACCATCCATGAAGATGGTCCTAAGTATGATTCGGCTGTGGGAATGGTCGCCCCAAACGTAGCTGAATTCCAACATGAATTGTATTCGAGACAGCCTTCAAAATCTCTTTCTCTGCTTGCTGTGCCATTTCCATTGCATGCCTGTGGATAAATAAACATAAGTTGCCACAAGAGACTAACCCAATTCAGAGTCAAACTCACCAAAGGTTAGACAAGAGAAATTACCCAATTCGGATATCAGGTGGCATGGAAACCTCAATTTGAAGAACTTTCTTGCTTTGAAACATGTGACGTGTTATGCGCTCAACTGACATCTGAAACCAGCTAGAGACATTAAAGATTGAAAACAATTATAAACTCACGTTTAAAATTCAACTGTACTTCCATTAAAAATGGAGTCGCCTTTCTTTCAGCCACCTTCAATTAATATTGAAACAGAAAAACTTGATATGACACCCCTACTACTAAGAGAATCGCAACCATCTAATTCCCCAAATTTTATGGCTAAGAGAACATGAACAAGTGCAGAATAATCCGTTTGCATCTAACAAATAAAATCCAAGAATCCACTTGATCGTTATATAAATATTACCTGTGGGAAGTTGGATGAGATTATATCAGAAACAATTCCTTTAATGTTACTATCCTCAGCAGGATCAATAGTGTGCTGGTCCATGTCTCCACTCCAACTATCTTGCTGATCGGTTGTAGCATGTGACATTGCAGGATCTACAAAAGAGAAATAAGAATAGGACAAATTTAGAGTTAATAGATACAAAATAGCAGAACACATCCACTACAAAAAAAGAAAAGTGGTTTAGATTTTTAGATTTCAAAAAAACTCATTACAATATATCACTATTTTAGTTGTTATACAGCTGCAATGTGAAAATAAAGCCTGCATGAAATTAGGCATATATTTGCCATGCATAGTGGGTGAAATAAGATGAAAGAAAAGGACTACTGGTGACAGATTTAATCATCCGTATGACATTCATAACAGGCTTAAGCATTTTCTATTCATACACTGGCCAGTACCGGTGCTGAACAGTTTGCATGAAAGTGCTGAATAGAGACAACTGGGTTGGTTCAGAAGAACCCAAGATAAAATACTGATTTCAGGTTTGGATAATGGCTAAAATAACAACGCACAACAGAGATGTGTCAAATATTTGCCCCGATGCCAACTTGATATTGTAGAGATAATATTTTAGTGAAAGTTGCCGAGTGAGAAATGTGCTCCCTTAAGAGATTCATATACATGCTAATAAATACATAGCACACTTTACAAGAGAAAGATAATTAACTCTACTTCTAGGTTACAATGTAAGTTGGCTCTTTATTTGATGGAACAATAACCATTATATAATTTCCAACAAAAATAATTCATACATATCTTAATTCAGTACCATTCAGATAATTCCATTACTTGGCTTTCATTCTTCTAAAACAGGGACTTGATACTGTCACTCTATGCCCCCTATTTGGTCAAATTTCACTGCTCTGTTTTCAGTCTTTTGAAGTAGAGGTTTGAGCAGGTAAACTGTATCTTTCTGGACATATCATTACTGACTCTTTTTGTTCCAACTTATGACATCATATGGCATAAAACTTATTTACACTTTGACCATTTTGTCAGTTCCTAGAGTTTTTATGGCAAATGCTAGTTGTTAATGTGTAAGTTTTTGTTAGGATGACAACTTAACCCACGACCTATGTCCCTCTCTCTTCTACTTGTACCACTTAGCCAACCTAATAGAACTATACATGACTTATATGTATTTCAAGTTATATTTCATTGTATATCTAAATTTAATTCAATGCAATTTGCAATTCACAATTTAAAATTCAAAAATTATATTTAACTTCTGTTAACAGCTATGTCCTTTATTAAAAATAAATTGTAAAAACAAATAACTAGGACTCTGCAATAGCCAAGGTAAGAAATTTATAAAACTATAAAACAAACCTAAATGTATAAAAATTTCAACCACAGTAGGATGAGACTTGTGAATTTGATGACGAACATCTTCACCAATGTCATGTGCAGAGCTGACACTAGAAAAAGGATCAACCTGCAAGGTAAAACTAAAAATTAAACCTTGCAAACTGACACATGCAATCCAATCATGAGTCCATAACATATAGTGGATGTGATATAAAGAATATAAAATACAGGAGTACTAACCTCAATATGTACATCAAGATACAGATATGAGCCAGCTCTTCTACCTCTTAAACGATGACACCCCTGCATATTAAAAAGAAAAATGCCAAGAAATGAACAAAAAAGAATGTACTCTAAGCTCATATATTAATATACAGAACACCAAAACATCATTAATGAACACCCCGTAGAAGTGCATGCAAAAAATTAAAGTAGAACTTGATATATTTCTTCAAGAAAATGATGGCATTGGAAAATAAATCATATGCAAGTTTCAAGGTTGCACAAATAACAGTTTAAAAAGAATACTGGAAAAAAAAGAAACCTTGACACCATCAACTTGAAATATTGTTTGTTTAATAGGATCCAACTGCTGTGCCGGGACTGCAGCATCAACCAATTCCAAGACACTGGTAATTGATCAAAAGAAGAAATAAAATTAGACCTAGAAGTTAGGACGTACCATATTGCCTATAGATAATTCTAGTGGGCTAGAAACTGTTTTTCTATCCCCGCCCTTAGATTAGGCAGAATAATTTTCTCCAAGTCAAAACACATCTTGAGTTACATTATACCTATTTGTATTCAATGTTATGTTAATAGTTTCCCAAATTGAAATTTCCATTAAGCATGGATATAGATGTAGTAAGCTCTATGCCTGAAGTTATTAAATAACTGAATTGTATAAGCCATTAAATTGGGGGATCAATTTATATATCAAATGTGCATCATTAAAAGATACAATTCCTCTGGGAAGACAAGTAAACTTGTCAAATTAATTGGATGTCATATCCAAAAAGATAAATCTAATCTAATTTATAGGTATATCCAGCACATGTCTATGTCTAGCATAGGTTTGTCCAATATTTTGTTGCATCCTTGTATTAGGATTACACTAGTTCCCATAAGTTGTTTTAACTCAGGTTCCAAAAAGTGATTGACATGTATACATCAGGATTAAGAAGATAGTTTCAATAACATAAACAATCGGTTAAACGTGCAAGCAAAGTGAAAGATAAACTGTAGAATAACAGATATAGGTACCTTTGATAACCAGTTTCAGCTCCAGCTTTAAAAATCATGCCCGAGACTAGAAGTCCAGCAAGGGGATCAAGAAACTTCAATCCAAGAATAGATCCTCCTAACATGGAGATAAAAATTGATGGTAAGTGAATGTATGCAAGACATCCAAGACATAAACAGATCAAGTATCCAGAATCAACACCTACGAATGCAAAAGGAAATAATACTATAGAGGTTTAGAGTCAATTTTAGTCCTGAAGAAAACATCCAGTTACCATTTACTCCCTTAGGCATTACTTTTATCAATTTAATCACTAAAACCATTAATAATGTTGTCCTCCCTTTCATGATACCGTCAACAAAAATGTTGAAACTTGAGTTTGAGGATTTGCTTAGTAGTCTATAATATTCTAAGTATTATGATGCTATTACAGATTAGCATTTCATGTAAACCATGTTGGACCAAAATGGATGGAGGAAATAAATTATAAGGGATTAGACATTTGAGTTGAGAGATCAAATTATGAAAGTAACCTTAAAGAACTAATTGAATTAAAAATCTTTTAAGGATTAAATTTGGACTCGACTAAAAATATAGCTACAAGGAGCTCGGATGATAAAATATAATGCAATATCAGATGGTTTTTATATGTTAACAATTATGATACTTTGACAATTTAGTGTAAAAAAAGTATCAAATTCAGTAAATGAAATAACCAAAAATCAATGATGAATTATAGTCTGTTGACGGTAAACAAAGCACTTGCTACATGTTAACTTTTTAATGTTTTAATGTCAAACAAAACCACAGCATCTGATCAATTCCACTTCAAACAAATTGTCTGCATAAGACAGCTAAAGCTCATATGCAGAATTCAGAGCCACTAAAATGTGGGTGACCACTTTTAGTAAGGTCAATTTAGGTAATAACAGCAGCAACAACAGAAAATTCATTAGTAGTGTATCAATAAAAATAGATGCACATAGCAGCTCATGAATTCATAATTCCAAACACACGATAATAATTGTTAATTATAAAATATACAATTGGAGTTCACAGACCATAACCACTTTTTATTTTTAAAAGATGTCCGCAAAAAACTCATAACTTATGTGATTATATGACTAATATCATACCATATGACTAATATATGACTAATAATCATGACCCAACAAACAATGCCTTGTAAGCAAGTAAAACCTGATTGACAACATATATTGTACTAGGACTTTCTTCTGAATAATAAGAACCTTTCAAAGAAACAAGTTATAAGTTTTTTACCAACTCCAATGAGAGCAACTACTGATGAAATTGCATCTGCACGATGGTGCCATGCGTTTGCTTTCATTAGTCCACTGCCTTGCTTCTCACCAGCTTGTTTTGTTATCCAGTAAAGCCTACAGATTAACAAAGCAAACTCAAGTCTAGGATAAGAAACAAAACCTAGTAATGTACATTTTAATGACCTATCGAAGACATCAATAAAAAGGAAAAGAAACAAGGAAAGGAAGATATCAGAATCCCAACCAAAATTTAAGAAATTCAAGTTAGACCTAGTCAGGCGAGGAAAAGTCAAGGAGTAAAGACCATGGACACATTCCCTGGGATGTACAATGCTTGAGCTAACATAATTAGAGCTATAGCATACTAATTTTTCTAGGGATTCAATCCATTTAATGTTATTCTCTAAAGATTTCCTCAGTAATTATCCTTTGGTATTCAGCTCCATTGACTAGAAATTGCATGAAACTTTATTGATTTGCATCGACCCATGGTTGAAAAGTATCAGATACCACCCAGCGAAGGATTAGTCAAAGATAGCACATTTAAAATAGTGACATAGCACATAGGTGGCTAGAATAGGTAAAAAAAGGACCTCCTCAGCCTGGTACAAGTTAATATTAAGTAATAGTAATACCCTTCTTTAACACATATTGACACTATAGTCATATTCAAAGCAAGGATGGGGTGATCCATGTCAATTCCATGATCATGTCCACCATGCTCGTGGCTATGCCCATGCCCATGTCCATGTGCTAATGCCTGGCTAACCATTTCAGGACCAGGTGTGAACAATCCCTGCATGTGTATAACAATGGCTTCTAAGTATTGAAAGGATGACAAAATATCCACTTTTCACAAATAGCCTAACAAAATGCTCAATGAAAGTTTCTTTGTATCACGTATTTCATGGGAATAAGTGAAGCAACTAATAGATCCAAGTTTGAATTTCAATACCATCAAAAGGTCTGCAGCATGCCATGCAATGCCACCTCCAGTCGCCAAAAGCATGCAAGAGATTCCAAGAGCTCCTATAGTCTCAAATTTACCATGTCCTGAGATAGGAAACCAAAGAAATATAATCATAAATGAGACAGAAGAAACCTTTCAGTAAATAACAAACGAATGGTGAGCATTAATCTGATGAGTAATCTTAACAAAATAACAGAAAAAAAAAAGAGCATTATGAGATTATTATTAGTTTTGCTATAATTGAATGTAACTAACTATCAGATGGGCAAACCAATCATATTCAAACAATTCATTCAGAATATCTAATATAAACTGAAACTCGATGCATAAGAGAAAACGGAGTAGCGTGTAGATACAAATCAAGCGACCATATGGGTGTTCTTTGTCTCTAGGCGCCTTGGCAACCTTGAAAGAAACCAAAGCTATGCCACTAAGAACCTGCCACACCAATAATGACGAGGATGAACATGGTTTCGAGACAAGTTGCGTTACGAAGTGAGTGTATGAGAGTGTGAGAGTTTCCACTTACCACATCGGTTATGGAATGAGCAGCATCGGCGATAATGGCTGTACTCCCGGAAAGATAGCCGGTGATCGCTTTTCCGGCGGCTAAACCGATGTCGGCTGCGAGACCTAACCGGAAAATATTTTCTCCCTCCTTGTGGCGGTGATCGAGTTCATCGTGGTGGGAATGACCCAAATGCCACCTCTTTGGAATTTTGAATGCGGGATTTTCAATTAAACAGGATTGTAATGGATGGCAATTAAGCGATTCCAAGACGGGAGGGGAGAAATTCGTAGAGGAAAGGCGTGTAATGCATGTTCGGTACATGGGATTCAGATTTCTCAACATAAACCCCATGCTTTCTTCTTTCAATTCTGAAATCTAACTAGGGTTTCTAATATTTTTTTTCCCCTTAAATTATAGGACAGTTGCTGCGGCCACGCGGAATCCTTTCAGCGTCCAGTAGTTCATTCAATCACATCTTTCAGAATCACGTCGATCAAACGCAAGTGTGCGTGGTGTGACACGTGTCAACAGAAAAATAAGTCATAACTTTCCCTCTATACAACATATAACATGATTCATGTCTTCAACTAAGAAATTATTTTTATTGATAAATTTATTAATTTCGTTTTCATTTCCTGTATTGAATAATGATAAAAAAATTTATTAGAGTTTCGTTAATTTAGTCATCAATCATGTATTACTTTAAAATGTTTTTTGTCAATAAATTTAATTTTGCATTTAAACTTTAATAGGAATTTATTTTTCTTTATTTATCTTTGATATATAAAGATTGTTTGGTTATCTAGTATTAAAAATGAGAGTTTGGTAGAAACTATGTCATTAAATAACGTGACCAATATGAAGATGATAAAACAGGTCCCTTCATTTTATTTTGATAATTAATCTTTAATTTAAGATAAGACGGACTAATTTAAAAAATAGAAAAAAGGGTAAGTGAGTCGATTAACTAATATTTTTTTATATAAATTTTTTATATGTATTTTTTAAAATATATATTTAATTATATAAATAATTTTTAAATATATATTTATTAATTAATAATTTTCTGATATAAATTCAAAAAATTATTATATTTATGTATTAAAATACCTAATTATAATCAATAATTTAAATTTAATTGGTTAATATTTATAATTTAACTTATAATATTATAATATATTTACATATTATTAAAAATGACATAAAAATTTTAATATTTTTATTTTTAATATATAAATATTTTTTAAAGCAGATTAGTAGGTTAATCGGTCTTGCCCTGCGTTTGAGGCTGCTAGATTGGCGGGCTAGATAAGGCGAAAAAATGGACTAACAAGTTAAAATTATCAACATACCTCATCATTTTGTAGGTGAATTGGTAGACTGACTCACTAGACCTAACCCATTTTTTCATCCCTAGAAATCCAATAACTTCCTTATCACAATACCACCATCTCTCTACAATTTTCTTTAACTTTTCTACTTTATCGCTCATCTTCTTTTATATTCAAGCACATCTTAGTGCCACAAAGTAAAGGATAATATTTATAATCAATCAAGAATTTTAATAGAGTAAGGTTTTTTTTACCTATTTTTGGAGTATTTACATGTAAGTTTAAGGAACTTGCAAATGAGGCTCAAGGTGCATGCATGTGGATTCCATTAGGTAAAGATCAATTTTAACTAGTTTATGAGTATTGTAGTAAATTTGATTTGTTAATTAAGATTTTTTATGAGCAAAATTTGACTTCCTATGAAATTAGAAATTTGAAATTTTTAAACTTGAGGGCATTGAAATTAAAAGGTAAGGAAAACTAGTAGTAAATTAACACCCTATATAGATTATCTAAATGTGATGTTGACTTTGTTACATTATTTAATTTACAGGAATTTGTTTTTATAGTTGATTGTTGATATTATATCACAAATTGTGATTTTATGTGTTGATTTATATTAAAGATGTGTGTAGGATGTTATGGTAGGGTTTCATAGAATTGTGTTTGGGCTAAATATAACATGTTTTAAAAAGAAATTGTGCAATAGAGTTTTATAGGATTGTGTTTGATGTCTGAAAACTAGTTTAAGTGTACTTTTGAAAGTTTGATATCTACATATTTTAGCTTAAGCGAGAGTTTGTCGCTCAAGTGAAATGTGTAACAAAGTAAGAAATTTTCATGGATATATTTTTGCTTAAACAAAAAACTTCTAATGAAATGAGATTTTTTTCATGTGTATTTTCGTTTAAGCAAATAATCTTTCACTAAAGTGAATGGGATTTTGCTCAATCAAGGAATTTTTTACTCAAGTGAAAAATTTTCAGAAAAAAATGCATTTTTTTGGAGGATTTTGTTTAAGCAAAAATTCCCAAAAATTGTGTATGTTTCATGTCCGAACTTTTAAAAATTATAAAAAATAACTTTGAACTCAAAAATAAATGCTCCATATATGCAAATTGAAACCTTAGAAATAAGGAATTCAATAAAATAAGAATTAGTCAAAATAAATGATATTCACAAAGAAAGTTATGAAAAAAAAAGTAGGTAAAGGTAAAATAAAAATATATATTTTTGTTATATTATGAGAAATGGTGTGTATATGACTTAGGATGTTAAAATACATATTATAACATGAAATGAGTTGTGTTGAATGTTATTATATACATAGAAAAATATTTTATTGTAATGTGAGAAGTACATTAGATATTTTCAAATGTATGTTATATCTATGATGTATAAATGCAAGTTAACATAGTGACTTTCAAGGAGAAAATACTTTATTCAAATGTAAGTTATATATTAAATTTGAGATTCTGAACGAGATATTCTAGCATTACTGATATTGGATTCACATAGAGGAAAATATTAAGTGACAATAGTTGAGGAAAGTTTTTGTGACCTATCTTGTAGTGTGAAAAAGAATCATGTATGACAAGTATTAAGAATTTATCTTGTCACATGATAACATGTTTCAATTATGTTCCTATGTTAAATATATCCATTTTATGGAAGATAGTGTATAAGTGCAAATATCTGAATCTAAATTCAAGATATGTTAGTATTTCCAAAGTAGAGTCAACTATCTATGTCAAATGTCAGTGTATCATGACATGAAATTAACTTTTAGGATGAGGATTAAATACTTGATTTATTTTATACGTGTGTTTGATTTATTTATTCATATTGTGGATATTGAGAATATTTTTGTGATAATAATATGAATGAAATTTTTTATCACTAACTTACCTTATTTTGTGTGATGTGTTCATAAAAAATGTGATGACCATGTTCTCATATTTGAGCAAATAATGTTTCAGGTAGTTAATCTTAATATAATTGAAAAACATAGAATTCATTCTATAATTTTATTCATATATCTTTTGGATATAGATATCATGTTCTTATAGTATTTTACTCCTACAAATCAGGACTAAATAAAGTAAGTTCCGATTATACACTATTTTGTACAGTTATACAAACCTATAATTTAGCTAATCAAATATCTTTGTTTCAACACTTCCCCTCAAGTTGGTAAATGAATGTCATACATTCCCAACTTGTCCAATAATCTCCTAAAAATATGACTTGTCACAACTTTGGTAAGAATGTTTGTCAACTGATCTTCAGATCGAATATTTGGCAATTTTAGAATATTTTTATCAAGCTTTTCCTTGATGAAAAATCTATCAACCTCCACATGTTTCATCCGATCATGTTGGACAGGGTTGTGAGCAATGTCACGCACAACTTTATTATCACAATACAATTGAATGGAATGTGTATGTGCTACCCTAAATCCTGGAGAAGTAGTCTGAGCCACAAACCTTTACAAAGTCCAAGAACCATTCCTTTAAGTTCAGTTTCTGCACTGAATCTAGCTACAACTTTCTGCTTTTTGCTTTTCCATGTGACAAGATTACCTCCTACAAATGTAAAGTATCCAGAGGTTGATCTTCTATCATCAAGAGCACCTGCCCAATCTGCATCAGTATAAACCATCACATCCTTATAGTTGGAGTTCTTCTTGAACATAACTCCTTTTCCAGCAACGACTTTTATGTATCTTCAAATTCGTATAACAACATCTATGTGTTTTTCACCTAGATTGTGCATGAACTGGATAACCACACTAAGAGCATAGGCTAAATCTGGTTTGGTGTATTAATCTCCCTATAAGTCTATGAGATCTTCCCTTGTTAGTTGGAATTTGATCCTTTTCAATGCATAACTTCAATCCCCCTTCAATTGGAGAATTTGCTGGTTTGCATGTTGTCATTCTAGTTTCTTTTAGTAAATCCAATGCATACTTTTGATGTGAGAGAAAAATACCTGACTTTGATCTTGAGACCTCAATTCCAAGAAAGTACTTCAAAGGACCAAAATCCTTCATCTCGAATTTCTTTACCAAGTACTCTTTCAATGCCTTGCGTTCCTCTAAATCGTCTCCCATAAATATCATATCATCAATATAGACAATAAGAATTGTAATTTTTCCTTCCTTTTTTTTCTAGAAACAAGGTATGATCTTGGTTGCTTTGTTGATATCCAAAAACAAGCATTGACTTGGTGAATCTTTCAAACCATGCTCGTGGTGATTGCTTTAGTCCATACAATGACTTCTTCAACTTGCATACCATCTTGTTATGTGTATCCGGGATCCCACATCCTTCTGGTAGCTCCATATAAACTTCTTCAGACAATTCCCTGTGTAATAAGACATTTTTTACGTCAAATTGTTGTAAGGACCAATCAAGGTTTACAGCTAGAGATAACAATACTCGAACTGTGCTAATTTTGGCTACGGGAGCAAACATTTCAGTGTATTCGATTCCATATGCTTGTGTATACCCTTTGCCACTAATCTAGCTTTGAATCTCTCAATTGTGTCATCTGCATTAAATTTCACAATATACACCCATCAATATCCTACTGGTTTCTTTCCAACTGGACAATCTACCAATTCTCATGTTTTATTTATTTGCAAGGATCTCATTTCCTCATCCATAGCATCCTTCCACCTGGAGTCAGCTAAAACTTCCTGCACACTGTTAAAAATAGATACAATAGATAATTGACTTATAAATGCGATATTTGAGTTAGACAAATTCTGGTTAAAAATATAATTACTCATTGGGTATCTTATCTTACTGGTGATGTCAGGATCATAAGTAGACTTAGGGATACCTTTAGTGACACGATTTGACAGAATTCTTTGTTCTGTATTAGGTTTTTGAGGGGACGATATGTGTAGTATATTATTAGCATCAATAGGCAAACTTTCGATCTCGGTATGCTCAAATTCTTCCTCATTATGTGGTTGTTGATCAT